TGTGATGTGAGAGTCAAAACCTTATTTGAGGCTAATTAAGCCTCTCCCTCTTGCTCGGTGATACTTTTCGTTCGCCCCCTCTCTTTGTCTCTATAATCCTATCCAACATCCACAAGTAGTTTCCACTTAACTTCCTACCCTCATTCCTTATATTCAGGCTGTTGATTTCTATCGCTTCACTAATCTTTCACTTACTGGCATAGTCCCCATAACCAGCTAAGCAGTTAGAATTAGACCAATCTATCTGGTGTCCGAATTTTCGGAACCACAGACCCTTGCAGGCTGTTTTGTGTTCAGCGAACCTCTTTTGTTTGGGTCTACAGGTCTTTCGACATAGGCGCCACCTCATGGACATAAAATCTTGTAACAGCCCGATCTGGAGAGAGGGTCAAAGCAATCTCGAAAAGAAGGCAAGGCCGAGGAAAGTGTTATTTTCACTTTATAAATAGTTCTGATGCCTCATCTCCTCAGTAATTAGTCCATTTTTTTGAAATATTAAATCATGGCAACATAAGGAGTCTGGTAGAGTGGTCTAACTCTTTATCTAGCCCCAAATATGTAATTCCCTCCATCCACAATTCCTGGTTCCTATGCTTAACTTCTGACAGACGCTCTGACGATGTCAGTCACATGACGGACGAAAGCTAAGCAAGAATTCGTCGGATTTGCATGGCGGTGCAGCGAGGAACTATTCGCACAAATCTACAATCACAGCAGCAAGGCAATCCCCCTACAGCTTCAGGTGGAACCAATGTATGATTCCCTTCTGCTTGCCTCTTCGAACGAAACGAATAGTACTCCAACATTCATATATTAATTGATTCTTCAAAACTCAGTTTTTATACTTACCTGCATAGCACGTATGGATACCAATGTTTCTGAGATTCATCAGTTTACACTATGACCATGAAAGCACTGGCATGGCAAACCAACCATATTCCTTTATTGAACTTATTCTTTTCTTGAAGGGTTGTTCCTTGGCTCTGTATTATTGATAGAAAGGCAATGAATGTGCACATATCTGGCCTGGGGGCAACAAATGATCAGTAATCTATCTAGGGTTCACATGGAATTATTATATTACATAGTACTAAATTAATCAGAAGTTTCCAAGTGCACAGGGAGAGTGAATTTAGTATAAATAAATTATCACTGTAAGAGGCATGTATTCGAGTATATTAGAGCTAGACATTGTTGATTGTGTAACTTTAAGTACATTTTCTATTTACTGAAGGCAGAATTTCGACTATTATTTTATCCAAAAGTTAAGATATTCATTTAGCCAAGCGTAAATAAAGCTCTAAGGAGATTCGTGCTTTCTATTACAACTACTAAGTCACTATATTGGTATTGGCTAGCTTTGAATTAAATAGATGCATTCCGACTTGAACATAGTGCACTAATCTATGGAATTATATGAATTAATATAATGTATTCTGTATTGCCTATTTAAATCATTTGATACCCTAATATACTCACGAGGTCTACTTCACAGAATAAACTGTCTCCTCCCATGCATTAAACATTCTAGACTTGCACATTACAGTCGGGAGGCAACCAATTACTCTTCACTCAACTTAGTGAGTCTAGATTTACTTATTATTATTATTACTAATCTTTTTGATCTCATCACTCCCAGAAGCTCGCCTCAACAACGAACCAATTCTCTTCGAGAAACAAAACCTTCATACCACTTTCTCGCTATGAGGCCATTGAATAGCCATGATGAACAGAATTTATGACTTTTCTTAAGAAGCGAGCCTCTTCCAACTCATTAGTTTAATGGGCAGGTTCGAGGATAAAAGATTTCGCCTACCCAGCTATTAGAAATTTCTATACACATAACTGGTAGACTTTAGAAGTATCAATAGACCTTGACCAAGTACTTTCGTTACTCTGGGTTGCTTAAGGTGTTGAAGTGTGACTCCTACAAGAATGACACCCGGTTCTGATGATGTCCATCATATATGACATAAAAGCTCAGCCCGTTTTCACCCGAAACGAGGGAGGATATCTCGTGGACTGCGTCAACATGTACATCGTATTATATAGTCGATAGTGAGGACAACTTTGCTAAGAATATTCCTGTGCAAGAAAGCGTATAGGCATTCATAACTGTATGAAAATTTGTACTCAAAACATGTGAGTGCTTGGGACATTTCCATATCCCTGATGCGTGAAAGAACTCAGAAACATATCTTCATAATCATAAGCCTTCGAGACTATCGGCAGATCAGGATGTTTACAAAAGTCTCAAAAAATGTCAAACTTCTCCCATACCCCATTGTTTATAGTTGGATTCTTGATGAGGGAAACTTGTGTTTTTCTATTCCATTCTACCACGTAACTTATAGTCATAATCAGTAGATTCTGGGACTATCAGTATATCTGTGGTCACCATTGGTCGCGTAATTTGATGAAGGACTGATAGTTGAATTTTTCTTCACCCATATGAAGCTGGTCTTCTCTGTGACCCAATGACATTAGTGACAATACGGTTTAGTAGTACCATCGCGAAATTATGAGCTGCACTGCCCGGGTTAGATTCTCGTTTGGGGTATTAATGAGACGCAGGCAAGGTCGGAACTGCAGTCTATCTTGTATGGGAATGATGTTTTTTAAAGCAAGGCTAAGTGAAAGTCAATGACATTGTTTGAGAACTCGATCATCATTCATTCATCACAGAATTCGCCCTGGGATGGCCATATCTTATAATTCCCCAGCATTCATCATGTCTGAGAAGCCTTGCAAGTCATCGGAAAACAATTTGGCATGACCAGTACTGCCAAGCTTGAAAACCTTCTAAAGATAGCGATCTGGGCCCGGTACTGATGTTACGGGCCCTGGTCTCCCTCTGAGATACGAGCTGGCGGAGGTGTCTGCGACACCAGTGCTCATGATGCCACAGTGTTGAGGTTTAAGTGAGAATGAAGAAAGTCCTGATTGACCTGTATACAGAAGCTATGCTAAACAAGCCGGCCTGATGGCTACACATTATTCTCCACGTCCTAATAAGCTGAGGCTTTTAAGGGATAATTGTATGCAAATTTATGAGCCTCCATGCCAAAGTCCACTGCATCGACATCGGCATTGACAGCTTCGGGCCCGACAGGCTCAACAGCCTCATCCTTTCTGGTATGAACTGGATTCGGCTACATCTCGAGAGTCCTAAGCACAGTTAGCTAAATGGACCCAGTATTCAATACATTTCACGGACGTGCCAATGGTACAAACCCAAGAACTTGCAGGAGCGTAGGCTATGCAAGAGGATACAATAGAAGTCATGCGAGTCCCCAGGTCCGCGATGCATGCATAGCCCAAGTGATAGCGGTTAGTAGGCACCTAGGCAGCTTAGTCCCGCATAATATGGGCATTTAATCTGGGAAAAGTGTAGATAATTTCAGCAGACCAATTCAAGACATGGTGTAGCGAGCTGTTTCTTGTTTCAAAACCTTCAGGGGCTGCTCTTTGTGGGGCTTTCAACTTATTTTTTGTTGGGTTAACAGCCAATCTGCCAACAAAGCATGACCTTTGGGTGGCTTACCAAAGCAAACTTCGATAGAATAGTGAACCAGTCCCTTTAGATTCATCATGAACAGATATGCTATTAGTCCAGCAAGAAGCAAGAGTTAATGAAGGTTCTCCGAAAAAGAGAATGCAACCTTCGTTGGAACCAGCTGGTCTGCAAGAGTTCTGATGTTGGAGTAGCTCTTATTTCGTTTAAAGAGGTGAGTGGGAGGGATCCGAAAGTTGGTATCACCGGAATCTGAAGGGGAGTTGCCTTGGAGCTATGACTGTAGATTAGTGCTAATAAGTTCTCGGATCACCGTTCCACAACCCCAATAAATCCTTGCTGAGCTTTCGTCTATCATATGAAGGACAGCATTGGAGCAGGACACCATTTTTTCACGATACTTCATCTTTCATAACTTTATGTTTTGGCGAATTATCATAAAGCATAGAGTTATGCTCCAATTATGTCAAAAAGTATTTATCGGGGTTGTGGGACCGTGAGCCGAGGACTTATTCACACAAACATACACTCATACTTCCAAGGTAAAGCCCCTTCGAGTTTAGATGAGACATCTTACGAATGTCTTCAACCTGTCCCTTTCAACGAAATAAAAGGCATTCCAACTTCAGCGGTCGTGTAGGCCTGTTGGTTTCAGCATAGATTGCTTATAATTTTTTGGCAAACTTTTATTAATTCACTGTCTTCATTTTGTGTCCAGCAACTGCCCCAGTTCGAGCTACGTCTGGACATTTCTTCAAGTCTCTCCTTAATCTTTTAAGATGAGGTGTATATAAACCTTGATTTTTAAAGCAACAAGACAGCTGAACGCATTAAATGCCTATTGAGTCTTTGAACTCGATTACTATAATTACATTCCTTTGACTCTATAATTAGGGATCCGTTAAATGAGATCCTGTAGTAAATAATGGTTTTGTTTAACTCAGCTGGACTGAAGGTATCAGATAATATGGAGTCAACATGACTAGGTTTCCCGAAATAAAACATGAAAATAATCCTTTCTCTTTACAGCTTGCATGTACGCATGAGAAAAATTATCCAAATTTAACATCCCTACCCCACCTGTTGCATATTTCAGCACTTTCTGTTGGTGTCTTCCTCTCGCTCCGTCTTGGCTCGCCGGAAATTGCTACTGCAGACTTCACAGCCAGACTCTAACTCGGTAGGAGTCTTGGTTTGAAGGTGCAGTCCCGGGCCCAGCCAGCCTCAGCAACTTCTAAGGATGGGAAGGCCAGGTGCTTCCGAGGGTACCGAAGAGGGACCGAGCTAGCTGCTATCCGGCCCGGTGCCTGACTTTCTGGGGAGCTCCATGCCTCCGGAGGCGTTGTCTTGATCTTCGAGCCTTTGGTACAATCTGCGCCCGAGTTTTCTCACCACCAGCATGTTGGTGTCGAGGTGGAAGTTGGCTGAGTGGGATAAAACACTTGGGAGAATAAGGCAGTAAATCGAGAGGTGTCTGCGCCACTAAATGCCACCAAGCAAGCAGTCCCATTTCAACAATCTCTCGGACGCAGGACAGGTCATCAGAGCACCAGGGCATGTTGCCAAGCCGACATCAGTCAGCCCGCCAGCTGGTGAGCAGAATGAAACCGCCAAGAGGCTTGACAGAAAAGGGACCCAAGAAGGGTCGCCAAGCCATCAGCCGGCAGGAGGCTCTGAGACTCAGTGGAAGACGGACCAGCCACCAGCTGAGGGTGTCAGGGCAACTAAGAACGTGAAGAGAGAGAAGCGATAGTCCGTTCTTTGGATTTTATTCGATGGAGTAGGCCTCATGCCTAGTGACTGCACTTGGCCACGTGGAGAGCAAAGTTAGAGCAAGGGAAGCGACGAAGGACTGTTTCATGACGATCGTAAGACAAAAGAAGTGAGAGATTGTCAGGTATTAAAGAGGAATCGAGCTATACGGAGGCTAAGAAAGTGAGAGGATTGAGAGATTTATGCGGATGATAGGAATATAGAGTAGATTCCTGCAGATGGATAGGCAATATATAGAATCGCACATAAACCCGATGTGAACTAAGTTAGTGCTAACTGGCGAAATCCGAACGAACCAAATGGAAATTATTTGTATCTTCAGACGTATCCAAGTATATATTCAACGATGAATATGCATATAAATACACAAGCAAATAAATAAATAAGTAAATAATTGTTATTAAATAAAAGCCTCGTATAAATAGCTTGGGAGGGGAACAGAGTGATGAGCGCCAAGATAGACTGATAGATGGGTATAGAAAGAGACGTATGGACTGGGCTAGAGAGAGCCGAAAAACCACATATGGAATTCCACCCAACTAACGTTAGAAACCGCACACACGCACAAATTGTCACATAAAGCTGGTTGACGAACAATTCTATGTTATTCAGATGGGCAGATGGTCTCTGATTATGCAGTTAAGCAACACATCGGAGTTAACGAATTGAGCAATCTAGCTATCTATCCAATCAACTCTTTGTAATACCTTTTCCCCCATGTGGCTCTCATTTCTTTCGCACATATGTGGAAAAATTGGTTTTCGAAGAATCCCTTAATAGATTGATGTCAGAGCACCTTTCACTTTGTATGAAGAGGCGAGTGGACGAACTTCATAAGTAGGCCTTACTGTAAAACCGAGGGAGGATTGCCTCGAAGCTGTAACCGTAGATTTGTGCAAATATGTCATCGATGCACCGTCGCAAGAATCCGTTGATGTCGAGCTAGGCTCACTTCCGTCATGCAGGACATCATACTTTACGATATTTCACCAAGCGCGAAGAGAGAATTGGACGAGGAGCAAAATGGATCACCTTTCATGCCTTGATGTTTGGTAAAAATATCGTATCCTGCTCCGATGACGCCTGTCACATGACAGACCCCGTTGAATCCAGTTGAAGACTTATTAGCACAAATCTGCAAACGCAACTCCGAGCCAATACTCCTTCGGCTACTGGTGAGGCCGCCTCTTAAAATGAAATGAAAAGTAATCTAGCATAACTAATTATTTTGATTTAGATAAGTTGAAATTGGTGTCGGTTAGTGGTCGCAATGGACTGCTATGTAAAGCATAAGAGCCTAATGTAATGATCAACTACAGAGTCTTGCACCAGCATAATATTCTACTTCTGATTCTCTTCATGGCTCCTGCTAGGAAGACGGCAAAGCCATATCATTTTCGGGCCTTTTTCACCTAGCAAGAAGATTTATAGATACAAATACTAACTTGGTTTCAATGAATCTCCTGAAATAACATTGTTGGGAAAACGTCCAATTCGTATAAAAATGCATGAAGAAGAGATTCATAGGTTGATCTCACCTGAAGACAACAGCTGGTTTCTGTTATACTGCAGCCGTCCTCTTGATCTAGTGTTAGTGTGAGGCTTTTGCAACAATGAGTCCCAGCTCTGAGGATGTCTATCACATGTTGGGCAAAAGCTTGGCCCGTTTTCATCCCAAGGATGTCTCTTGGACAAAGTTTACTGTCCTCTCCGCGTGAGATTAATCTACGAATCTCTTCCTCATGCACTTTCATGCGAAATGAAGGTCCCCCAACAAGAAGATTTAGGCATAAATGGCGCGCTGCACTTCATCACCTGAAATTGAAGGAAGCCAACAATTGATCTGCTGTAGCTATGCTTGGCCAAATGGTCGTTCGTCTTCTACAGGCCTTGTAGCATTGTTCTCTGTCTTCGGCCAGTCTTTACAGTACCTGGCAGCGGAGCAAAAACGCTCCCGGACTGAATTCGCCTTAGAGATTAGTGTAATTTATAAGAGGCCATTTTGTAAGAAGTTACTTTCAGTTATTCTTAATCTCCTTAAAACCCTCCAAGAAATTATTTTCTTATAAATAGTTTATCTTCAGATAAGATAGCCAGGAGTGACTGAGCGTGACGGGCGAAGGTGTGTAAACCTGAAGAGACTAGAGTCTTCAAACATGATGAATTTAGGGACAAGATGTGTTAATCCTCTAAAATTAAATGACTAGACTTTCGATAGGAAGGAGTTCCGGACTCAATATCATTTAATTGATTTAAAAGAATTATATTTTTCAAAAAGCAACCCACATACTCACAGACCAAGCGAGAATTTAGAGAAAAGTAAGCAAGTACTATTTGAAGCTAGGAAATGACCCGAAAGTTATTAAGGCCAG